CCACACGTTATGTTTTCAAACTAAAGGTTATGAACATTTTATTTGGACATATTTACTATTTTGTTTTAAGAGTTGGCTCGAGACCACATTTTTAGAAGTTTCCCCTTTTTTTTGGAAAACCATTTTGCTTTTTTAATAACTTAGTTTTGCCCTGTTGTAGCTTTTGCAGAAGCAGCTTCTGGCTGAATCTTTTAGATAAGTACTTTTCAAAAAAGCATTTTAGTGTTTGGCGGTAAAACTATTACAAGTGCTTTTTAATATGAGCGGTTGTGTAAAATGCAAGGATGAAAAAAGCGCTAGGCGTAAGGCGGGCGTTGAGCCTTTGCCTTGCGCCTAGTTCGCCTAGGAGTAGTTTAAACGTGCCTAGGCGTTGGAAGAGAAATAGTTATTCGCACCGCATGATGGATGAAATAATAATTTACAACACTTTCTCACTTTAGTTAAAATGATTAATAACTTACTCAACACTTAATGACAAGAACATAGCTCACGAATTCATAGAATCATAGCTCAATAGCTCACAAAGATCTTGAGCTATTGAAAATATAGATTTCGTAGTTGATGTTGATTTTGGTCTTTAATATTGATTTTCTAGCTCCATCTAGTAATGTCTAGAAGAGACTTATTTGTCGCCTTACTACATTAACGTGTTCTATTATCTAATTAGGCGTGAAACCCCTAGGAGAGGCGTTTTGCCATTGCCTTGCGCGTAAGCGTGCCTAAGCGTAAGGTTAAACGTGCCTTTTTTAACCATGGTAAAATGACTATAAAGGACTTATAATATAAAATATGAATAAAAATTCTAAACAATAAAAAGTAGTAAAAATGGATCTTGTTAGATTTCTTTTATATTAAATAATATGATTTTATAATTTATTTTATTTTTAAAATGATATAAATGAAGAAAAATTATATTTTTCTGAAATAAAATTAAAATATGGTAATGATAATCTTGTATTTTCAAAACAGCTTTTCGCAGAAGCTCCAAATCGGAACTTCTGCTTTTATGTTATACAAAAGCACTTTTCGACTTTTCAAAAGTCGAACTTTTAAAGGTGTTGGGCCCTACTTCAGTTTTTAAAGCCGAAAAGCACTTCTAAAAGTCGGAGCCAAACATAGGCAACCAAGCCCAGACCGGAAAAACAGAAGCCCACGTTGAGAAAGTAGTGTTGATCTCCCCGGGCAAAAGGGAGAAAAAAGGATAGAAATAGCCTCCCTTGGTATGGCCTCCATTTTATTATCTAACCCCTATTCTCCGGGAACGTGTGTGTATATAGTAGTGTAATAAATAAATAAATAAATAAGAAGATATAGGGAGCTGGCAACGGAGGTGTTTTTTTCGTTTGTAGAAACTAGAAACTGAAAATTCGTGCTTCCGTTTCCTGATACGACTTGGATTGATGCCCAAGTTACGTAAAACCTAGTAAATCAAACGCACCGTCTTGGGCTTGAATATTGGGCATGTTGGAATCGCGGTTGTTATTAGTGGGCCCACGAATGGCCTTTCCTAGGCTAGTTTGCTTACCGAAGCTAGCCCAAATAAGTTTGTCTTGCCAGATTCATGCAGTTGCATAAATTGGATCTCTAGAGTGTGTTAATCGAATCGTTCTCCTTGGATTAGGGTTTTTCTCTGCACTCGCTCGGCGGCCTAGGCGTCTTTGCTCCCTCTGCGCTCCGTCAGTCGGCACTTCTACGGCCCCGCAACCATGGCCGAGCAGGTTCGCTGCCTCCGAATCTGTCTGTTTCTGTTTTCGCCCTGATAATGTTTGTTAGTCTGATCGCTTTTTATTGTGCTTGATCTGTCTTGTGGCAGACTGAGAAGGCTTTTCTGAAGCAGCCCAAGGTTTTCCTCAGGTAGGCTTTTCGCTTTTACTTTGTTTGTATTCTGCTTCATTCGTCAGAGTTTTGGTACTTGGTTATATTGGGGATTCCAATTTTTTGCTTTGTTTTACAGCTCTAAGAAGACTGGGAAAGGGAAGAGGCCTGGGAAGGGCGGGAACCGCTTCTGGAAGAGCATTGGCTTGGGGTTTAAGACTCCCAGAGAAGCAATTGAAGGTCTGTTTATGCTCTCTTTACCATTTTTGCCTGCTTAATACAGTTAAACTCTTTAGGGATTTGATGCTTGTGAAATGCAATACCCAACTACTTTTTAGCTACTTATTTCTGCCGTGTAGGTGTTATTCTTGAAATGGCCTTATAAGCCCTCCTGAACAACAAAAGGGTTGCTTTGAATTTCAGTCTATTGTTTCGGATTGAAGCACCTCTTTGCCATTGTGTTAAGCACTATGAACCTGTTTCTGCAGTATAGGTGTAATTCTTGAAATTTTCTGATCAGTCCCCCCGAAGCATAATGTTCAGCTGTTGCTAGATGCTTATATCTACTTAGTTATGCTGTTGCTTTGTTCTTGTTCTTTCATTTGATATATGTCTGAATAAGCTAATGTGAGGAATGGAAGTTGGGGGTTAGGAAATGGATGAGGTGTTCAACTTTGTGTGACATTGTATACCTGCTGTTGTTACAGCAATTGGCTGATTGTATAGCTGATTCAATTTTATCTATGGCAGGCACATACATTGATAAGAAATGCCCATTCACTGGTACGGTTTCTATCAGAGGCCGAATCATTGCTGGTACTTGCCACAGTGCAAAGATGATGAGAACAATCATTGTCAGGCGCAATTACCTTCATTATGTGAAGAAGTACCAGAGGTGAGGGTTTTGCGTCTAATATAGTAGTCGGAATTATGTTATGTGAGGCGCAAGGATCATGCTTATCTGATTCATTCATATATATTTTTTCTCAGGTATGAGAAGAGGCACTCCAACATCCCTGCACACGTGTCCCCTTGCTTCCGTGTGAAGGAGGGAGATCACGTTATTATCGGTCAATGCAGGTTAGAGATTCTCTCTTGCATTCCGAGTTATTATAAAAAGCAGAAACCTTCCCTTCCAAAGAAACATCAAATGATGCCCTCTAGTATTTTAACTACACATATATGTTGATTCTTGCTGCAGGCCTTTGTCCAAGACTGTAAGGTTCAATGTCCTGAAAGTGATTCCTGCCGGCTCTTCTGGTGGTGGCAAGAAAGCATTCACTGGCATGTAATCTCTTATTTGAAGAGTTTGGAGGGTTTTGTTGAGTAGAGTTACCAATTTAAGTTCAAGTTTTACATTTTGGTTTTAAGTGGTTGGAACTCATTTGTATTACTGAGAGAGATCTGTTTGATGCTATAGTAATCCTGAAGTTTTGCCTGTTTCATACTTTGGTGAATACTGAATGCACTCTGTCTAATCTTCATCTTACTAAGGGTTGCACTTTGTTGTTGGTCTTATGTTAAGCCCGTAATCGAGGTCTTATCTTCTGGCACCTGAACTATGTCAGCCAATGCTCGTAAGAAAGTACTGGTAGAGTTCAGACTGGGCTATGGTTTCATTAGTGGGCCTCCAGAACTAGTTTTTTTTTACAAACCAGAGCTAGGTTCATATCGTATAACTACATAGCAACTTATCTACGTATTTTGGTACAAACTCGATACAAACTAACATTCAAATTTCAAAAGGAATCGATCTAGACTCAATGTTTCAAAACCACCCAAACCTTACAATAAAAGGAAATAAACCGCCAATTCTTTCCATTAACTTGAATCGTGCATAAGCAACGTAACAAGTTTCAACAAGGAGAGGCGTGGGTTTACTAGTTTATGGAATTCATGAATTTGGATTCGAAAAGAAGTTCAAATCAGTGGATTTCACGGATTTGAAGTTTATCAAGCAAACAAGAAAAACGTAAGATTTGTAGACAAATTCATTATTCTTGAGATTTGGGTACAAATCTATTACTCAAATCCAACAGGGATACGACATTTTAGACCTCAAATCTAGTTATTTTTTCTCCATTTTACAAGTAATGTGACAAAAAAAAATCTTTCATTTGACATTGAAATTCAAAGAAATTTTAGATAGTATAATAAATTATATATAGGATAGTTCAGGGATGGTGTGGGTGATCTTTTCCCGAACCACATATTGATGGATTTTGATATGACATAGTATATCCCAACACAATTTTGGTTACAAAGATTTTTACGATGATAAAACCGTGACTCGATAATGGTATATATGAAAACCAGCCCCACCTAAACCCATTGTCATCCCTATTTAAAAAATGTCCCTATAATTATGGAAACTCCTTCATAACAACCTTTAAACAAGTATATCAACCTCCAAAATTGATGACGTCTGTGTCAACGACGGTGTTGATGTGACTTGAATCGGACTATCAGCCATTACGACTGGTAATCGGGGGTCTCGCTGACCGGTCAGCGAGTGGGGTCCAGGGGCAACGCCCCGGCCCACGGTGTATGGGCTCAATGTTATTTGGGTTCGGGTTCTGGGCCTGGTCTGTAACCGTTTCCTTTGCCATATTGGATTAGGTTTAGACCTACATGGAGAAGTACTATAAATACTTCTCATACTCCTCTGTAATCTGTAATCTCCTCGATATAGTGAAACTGGCTCTCTCTCGCCCATGGACGTATCTAACACACATCGTGTTAGTGAACCACGTAAATCGTGTGTCTGTGTTTTTCGATTCTCGCTTTCGTATTCTTGCTTTATCGATTCCGGCGATTTCCCGATCCATAGCAGCGCGTTTATAACATACGGTTATTACAAAATAAGATCGACACACAACACAGCCAAGAGCCATTACATTTCATCAAGTTGCATTGTAAATACCAACCAACCACCATATCAATTATCGATCGGAGATCTATTTATCCTTTTGATCATTTCACCCTATTGTAGATCAACCATCTACAGCTACCCTTAATTCTCACGGAAGCAAGCTTCAATGAGGGTGGAAATCCAAATAGAACAAGGATGTACAAAGAGGCACATAATATTACAACCACCATCGGCATCTACATTCTCCACACAGGATAGGCGCTCTGTTTTGCAGTTAAAGAATCGTACGGAACTTCAAAATGGTCTTTCCCGTCTATGATCCCCAATCTAGAATGTTTGCGGTGGCTTCATTCACCATTTTCACCAGTGTCACCTGTCCCAAAGAAGTTCCCAAACAAATGCAGAATCATAAGCATATTATCGACCAAAGTCATGCACATCCCATGAACGCCCTCAGATCAAGCTATCACCACACCAACATATTTACAGTTCTCCATGTTCAGGCCAGCGGATAAAACCAGGGATTAGGACCACCGGCGGACCCAAAACACAGTAGAGCACTGGGCCGCATTTCATTAGAAAATTAGATACCGCAAAAAAATCATAGTTTTTTTTACAATATCAATTGTACACGTTGATCTTTTAAATTTTAATATAGTGAATTCATAAATAATGGAGTCTACACCCATACCAATAGCATACTCTCTTTAGATAAAATAGTTAACCATTTGGCAAGAAATTCATCACTCATTTTGTTGCACAAGTAATTTTTCACTTATTTTATTGTTGAAAATGTACTCTCTATAATAGTTGTTGAAACGAACAATGTCAAAAATAACTGATTAGTTTGATGACATAGTGCAAAATTGATAACAAATTATCAACTACCTAACTAACTTGTAAAATTACCTCTTATTTAGAGCAAGCAAACATGCCATTTGGATGAAAATATGAATGAAAATACATGAAATAGTTGTTTTGTTATAACATGATACTTGCGTGACCTTTTTGTTACGTTTTAAACGTTTGTGACCATTTTGTTACTTGAGCAAACCTGCATAAAATAATACTGGGTTGAATAACTAAAATCGATAAAATCATAAGAGCTATATTGGCTCCGAATCCAGAGGAGGGCTGGGTCGTGGTCCGGGGTGGCCACCCCCTGGATCCGCCACTGATTAGGACTTAGGAGGTCTCATATTCTCATAACTGAATGCTTGGTAGTATGTATATTTAATCCACTACAATAGATAAGAAACTAAATCCACTTATCCATTTCTTACTTTGCTTCAATACCAATATATGATAATCTTGCATAAAATTAAGACATAAGAGTGATAAGACTACCAAGAGAAAGATAAACATACCACACTTTCTGGAACACCAGCGGGAGGCAGGGGAAGGTTTCTTGGAGGTGGAATTGTGTCATATGACCTTTTGTCAAACCTCCATTCACCAATTTTACCATAGGTTAACTTGCCCTGGTGGTAGGGAAAATGTCAGCATAAGAGCAATTAGTTCATGAAACGATGAACTGTTAAGAGAGAATGCATTTCCGGGAATATTTTACTTCACGACCAAATGAATGGATGGGATTACCTCCATGTCATAGTCACATCCATAAGTATAATGGATGATGAACTTTGTGCCAATTTCTGTATCCCAGGGAGGCTGCAATGACAGAAAAGTATGCATGCATAACCTTGGTTATGAAGGCAACGACATTAAGAAGTACATTAAGAATCACAATAATCTCCAAGAAGTATAGCAAAGTATACCTGAAGCATGAAGTCCTTGTACAAGATATTGCCAACTCCATGCAAAGCAGATGAAACAGCATAAGCGTACCTATATAGAGATGAGAAAGTGTGAGTTGCTGGGAGTAGGACTCATTATCTAATCAAAGCACACGACAATCTTACATTTCAAGCACCCAGCCGAAGGCTTTATCGGTCTCAGGATCTTTTTTCATTGCCAAAGATACATTCATCCAAGTGGGAGCTATCTTCTTAAGAGACTCCTGAAACAATGTACTTATGCATAAATAATCAATAATTTTTTTCCCAAGAATCAAATATAAAAACAACAGTATAAGGGAGAGGCAATAGAAGAGAGCACACAGACCTTTCCTATGATGACAGGGGAATTCCCTATAGGATCGATAATAGTAACTGGCCCTTTTTCCTCAGGGAAGTACTTCCGCAATACTGTTTCATACTTCTTAGGCTCGATATAGAAGAAAGGAAACGCAGCTCCAAGCCCGTCTTTGCTCAAATTCGGTATGGGTTTCACAATAATGTGATCAGGCTCCGACATCAATATATAACTGGTGCATATGGCAAAGAATGGCAGAGAAAAATAAGGTCAAACCCAGAGAAACCCATCAAATAAACTCCATTGAATCTCCAAAGTTAAAGTGTTCCCTACTCTTCTTTGATATCCGCTTTTTCAAGCCATTGCACAAATGCCCATGGTCTATTGAGTACGATATAACCCTGTACAAGAAAGAACATGAGCTGATACTAGTTTTTCAAAGCAAGTTTCGCAAGCAGAGCAATTTCCATGCTGTAGCTTAAAACTCTGCTGCTTTCCATAACCCTCGAGCACATAACTAATACACAAATCCCATGTCATGAACCAGTTGATCCCAATAACTCGAGTTGTTGGGAGAGGTTCAATCGTGGATCTTATACCACTCTCTAACACGCCCCCTCAAACGAAAGCCAACCCATGGGCTTGAAGTTTGCACAGGCCCACCATACCATGTGCTTGAAAGACAACGGTTAATATTGGGGGTCGTGAAGATTCGAACACATGACCTTTTGGTTCCAGGCTCTGATACCATGTCATGAACCAGTTGATCCCAATAACTCGAGTTGTTGGGAGAGGTTCAATCGTGGATCTTATACCACTCTCTAACATCCCAAACATTCCTTAATTCAGAAGAAACAATTGACCAAATCAAGTTCGAGCACTTCTACTATGCTATATAGTATTGGTGCTTTAATGTACAACTCAAAGTTGTACCATAACATTAAATGTATAAGTTTAGGTTGTACCATAAAGCAATTTGTATCATTATGTTATGGTACAATTTTACAACTTGAAGTTGTACCATAACATAAAGGTACAAGTTCAAGTAGTACCATAAAAGAATTTGTACAAAAAGTATAGGTACAATCTGAAGTTGTACCATAACGTAAATGTACCATTTTAAGTTGTACCATAACGTAAATGTACCATTTTAAATTGTACCATAAAGGAAAAAAACCTATAGCACCAATATTATATAGCCTTGTAAAATTTCTCATCAAGTTCTGCCATACCAGATTGATTCATAGGAGCAAAAGTACGAACAGTTGGTGGCCGCTAAAAGAGAGAACGAAACCCAAATGGAGGAAGCGACGGCCGAACCTGATCCATTCCGGAGGGGAGCGGCTGAGCAACGAAAGTGGGGATCTCATCCATGAACTTATCGGCCTTGCCGGAGTGCAATATCCTGGTAAACCCTCCCATATCGGAGTTGGGTCCTTCCCGGAACTTCTTGAACCAGTAGTACATCACCCGGCACTGCCAGGTGTTGTAGACGGAATCGGAGGAGGTCACGGCGGTGTGGAAGAGGCGCTTCTGGGTGGTGGAAGAAGAACCGCCGAATTTCCTCGATCTGTCCTTGGGCATCTGGATGATTGGATCGATGGAGGAAATTGTGGACGGGCCGGGCAGGTCCTGCTTGAGAGGGGCATTGGCGGCGATTAGAACGTTGTAAGTGATTAGAGCTACCGAGAAGCTTATTAGAGCTGTGAAGAACAGATTCCCGCACCCCATTTTTGCCGGGGCTTTTCTTCACTTGGCGATCTCAGACCCAGTCGAATTCGTGGGGTTCTGTAACTTGCAGAGGTCGGGAGATGGAGACGATGGACGGCTTGAGGAAGTCGTCGATGGAGTTGTTGTTGGTGAGTAGTGGCCCACTAGCCAATTAGCTGTTGGCTGTTGCATTTCTTCTCACCATTTTTGTATTAATTTTCTCCCTTAGTAGATCATCGTCTTTCGCGTTTCAGACCATGTCATGAATTATGATTATAGGTGTCAATTGGGCGGGTTCGGGCGGGTTCGGGTTGGGTTCAATTGGGTTCGGGTTCAAATGGGTTGCGGGTTAGTCGGGTTGTGGGTTCATCGGGTTCGGGTTCAATCGGGTTGCGGGCAAATCGGGTTGCGGGTTTATCGGGTTTTGGGTCGGGCGGGTTGCGGGCGGGTCGGGTTTCGGGTTGTTCGGGCCAGCGTATCAAGTAACTTAACTCATTACTCATTACCAACTTACACATTTTATTACACTAATTTAAAATATTTTCTCAACTTTTTAACCAATTTATTTCTACCTCGTATATATATACTTTATTTTTTTGAAAAAAACTAGTCAAAATTTTAAATCAATTTGTATGACTTGCAAACTTGTTATGTAATTAATCATAATTGGTAAAGTATTATAGCTAATAGTAATGGTGATATCAATATTTGCAACCAAAAGACACCGTTAATTGTTTATTTGATATTTTAATATTAATTCAGTAGTAATTGAATTAAAGTATCTCGTTTAGTATAACCATGCAAATCTGGTATTTGGCGTGTGGTAATTGGCAAAAGCATAGTGATAAAAGAAGTTATTTCAAAATAATTCATTGCCCAAATAACTTCAGTAAACTGTTACCAAACGAGTTATTTGTAAAATTGTTCGAATTATCCTAAAAATTGAACCATTAAAGATTAGCTATCAAATTTAGTAAAATTATTGTGACTTCAATCATAACTTACTCAATAGCATATATCCTATACACTTAGCCTTACCCTCAATCAACAATATTAAGTTAGTGTATGTTTTTGATTGTATACCCTAAACCATCAATACATTATACACTAACCACATAACCTATACCCTAATCATATGTCATTAAGTTGTGATTTTGCTAGTATAGTTAATTTAAAAGTGAAATTCATACTTTGATTTTCAAAACATAGATAAAAAGTGATATTTGCTAATTGTTATACCCTAACCATATATCCTATACTTTACACCACCTACCTTGTACCCTGACCACGTACCATAAACATAAATTAAAAAGGGATCTCCTGCCGTTAAAGACTTCAAATGACTTCAAGTGAACATATGTTAATAAAAAAACTTAGAACCGTCAAAACCATCAATATCTTATACCCTAACCATATACACCATAAACCATATGTACCTTATACCTTATACCCTAACCATATACTTTATATCCTAAACAATGAACCGTCAAAGATTACTTATCAAGTTTAGTATAAATTGTTGTAACTAATGGTTAATTCATTTATTAGCCCATAAACAATTACATGCATATATACATATTAGCCTTCAAAGCATATAAGAATAATTTTAACTAGTCATGCCCTCCATATAAAAGTTAAAGATTCATATTTCAAAAGCTAAAATTATGACAAACCAAAAAATTGAAAACACCAAATTTGTTTCCTTCTTTATTTTCACAAAAAACTAAAATTTCCCTCCTTCTTTCTCCTTCCATACATTAGAAATACTCAATTTTCCCTCCTCTTTCTCTTCCATAAAATTGAAAGAAACAAATTACCCTCTTCTTTCCTTCTACAAAAAGTTGAAAAGTCAAAAGTTTTCCTCCTTATTTCTCTTTCATAATAAAAAAAATCAAACTTTCCCACTTCTTTCTCTTCCCACATATCAAAACCACAAAAATTCCCACTTGTTTCTTTTCTAAAAAAATTCAAAGAACCAAATTTCCCTCTTCTTTCTCTTCCCAAAAACTTGAATACACCAAAATTTCCCTCTTCTTTTAAAAGCATCAAATTACCAAATACATTACTTTACTTTATTTATATTTAATTGATAATTTTATTGAATAGTTAAATTAACCAAAATTTTAATTTATATATTATATTAATATTGTCATGATCTCAACTGACCTTCATGTTTCAATTTTGGTAATTTTCTTAACATACGTAATATCAAGTGAGTTTCATATTTTTTAAATTTCTTATACAAAATGAAAAAATAATTTTATTTAAGTTTAGAATGAAAAACTTTATTTTGAAAAACTATGTATTGTATATTTTTATAATTATTCAAGTGGATTAGATGAAATTCTGGTTGAGTCGGTCGGGTTACGGGTTAGTCGGGTTCGGGTCAATCGGGTTCGGGTTAATCGGGTTGCGGGTCAGTCGGCGGGTCAATCGGGTTCGGGTTGCGAGTCAGTCGGGTTGCGGGTCGGGCGGGTTACGTGTTGTTGACTTTTAGTCAATTCGTGTTGCGGTCGGATTGCGGGTCGGGTTGATCGGGCGGGTTAATCGGGTCGGGCTATGTTTTGACACCTATAATTGTGATACTTGATTCAAAATATATAATTACAATACTCAGGCCGGTTAAATGATGGTAATTGAAATTTATTGGATAAATATAATTTATTAGTCAAATGTTGACAAAATGCAAGACATCAACCTCCACTAATGGTGGAGCCTCAAGCAAGTACCACCAAGGCCAAGAACAATGGGTTCTTACTCTAGGCCAAGTGTGTATAATATTCAATCACATATTCTTCATCCGACGTTGCCTAACAATGATTATGAGATAAAGTCGAGCACAATTCCGATGCTTCAAAGTGCGGTTCAATTCAATGGGATGATGAGTGAAGATCCACATGCACATGTCAAGTCATTTTACGAGTTGACGGATGAGATCAAGGTGAACGGGGTCGGTCAAGAGGCTATTCGACTGAGGTATTCCGATTTACCTTGAATGGAGAGGCAAAGAAATGGTTGAATAATCAACCACATCATTCTATCACCTCATGGGATGACATATGCAACAAGTTCTTCGCAAGGTACATTCCACCTTCTAAGACGGCTTTGATGAGAAGTGAAATTACTATGTTCCGTCAAGAGGAGGTGAACCATTGTTTGAAGCATGGGAAAGATTCACATCTCTCCTACTCAAGTGTCCTTACCATCGCATAGCCGATTCGTTACAAGTTGAAAGTTTTTACAATGGATTTACAAAGGAATTACCAAGCCTCATTGATGCGGCTAGTGGAGGTGCCATTCGGAACAAAGAAGTCGGAAAACTTCAACAACTAATCGAAGAGATGGCCCTTAATAGCTACGATTGGGGTGGCGAAAGAAGGGGTAAGAGCATATCGAAGGGAAGTTTATTGAAGATCGAATAACCATCATCTTTATCGGCCCATATTCAAGAACTTTCAAAGAAGATCGATCAAGTTGCATCATCAATGAAGAGCAATGAGAAGCAACTTATGAAGTTTGATTGGTGTGGCGACTCGAGTCATAACATGGAAGAATGCAAGTTGTTGATAGAAGCCTCTATTCAATTCTAGCAAGCCAACTTTGTTGGAGGTCAATCCCGAGGAAATAACCCTTATAGCTGGACTCAGTGGCGGACCCAGGGATTTATAATAGGGGTGTCCGCTTTTAGAATAAAATTAAAAATAAAATTAAAATAAATAATTCTTAAATAAGAAAAGTATCCGAATAATATTCAACAACACAAATATTTGGTTAATACAAGTTACAACAAATTCCCACGTCGTGTTTTCATATTCTGGAAATATTCTAAAATACACTCCGTGTCTACAGTATTCAGCAAATCTCTTTCAATATATCCTATGAGACAATCATTCGCAAACTGATCGCCTAGTCGATTCTGAAGCTTGTTCTTGATGTAACTCAAAGCTGAAAAGACTCTTTCAACACTTGCAGTTGCAACCGATAAAGTCAATACAACTTTGAGAAGCAGGGTTGAAGCTTGATGGAAGCAGGGTCTCATTTTTTGCGAAGTTGGATCTGAGTCGTGTTTAGTTTTAGGGTTTTGTTGTCAAATTGTGGATAAAATTAATATGTTTATAAGTATCAGTATCTTAAAATTATAGCAAGATATGAATTGTAGTGCAATGGAAAACATGTTAGCTAATAACTAGGGTGTCCCAAGTTCAAATCCCATCAGCTGCTATTTTTTTTCTTTTTTTTCCTAGGCTCAAACTACTACTGGGGGTTCGATAAAATTTCTCCGAGATTTTAGGGGTGTCCGTGGACACCCCCAATCTTTGGTCTTCTCCGAAGGAAAGGAAACCTACGGGGTTTCAATCTCAAGCTACATATTCAAGACCGAGTCAACCAACATACCAAGGGCATTTCAAGAACAAAGCCGACCCTCCGATGTTCGACTTGCTAAACTTGAAGACTTTGTAGGACAATTTATCACACATTCTAACAAGACGTTTGAAGCTATTGACAAGTTCATACACCTCAACCAAATTCTCAAGTTTGGAAGCGGGACAAAGAAATCAATAAGCTTCACTTCAAAATCTTGAAGCTCAACTAAGTTCATTGGCTCAAACTATCTCATTGAGACCCAAGGAGCTCTACCAGGTAATACCGAGTCTAACCCAAAAGAAGGATGTTATATGGTGACTTTAAGGAGTGGCCGACCATTGAAGAAGATTCCTATACCAAATCCAAGGATCCCGATAAGAGAAGTTCCCCAAGAGGTTGTTCAAGAGAAAGAGTTAGCTCGGGAGGAATTTCAACCTTCCGTTGATGTCCATGTTGAATATGAGGAAAAGTCTAAGAAGACTCATGGATTCGAGCCAACAACAAAAGCCCCTTATCCTAGACGGTGATTTGAAAGCGATCTCTATCATGAATGTGCTCCATGGAAAGACATGTTGAAGCAATTAAAGGTAACCGTCCTTTTCCTAGACATGGTTTTGAAGATCCCTAGATATACTAAATTCTTGAAAGAAATATTA